TTGCAAACAAAACTCCCCCAGGATTGTTGTTAGTTGGAGGCACCCGTTGTTTCGGGCAAGCCATGAATTGATGCTTGTTGGTGGTGGGGGAGTATAAACTTTACCATTCTACTTGGGAACCGCCTATAATGTGTGTAGCATGGAAGATATCGAGATCTCTTGGTTGTTATGTTCACAATAAAAGTATACCGCTCAAAATATTATTAATCTCTATTTCAAAATCGATCTCTGGCACCTCTACAAATCCTTGCTTCCCTCTGCGAAGGGCTTATCCATTTACTTTTATGTTGAGTCATCATCCTCTTACTAAAAAGCACCAGTTGGAGAGCAACGCTATCATTTGCATGTATTATTGTTAGTTTACATTGAGTATGACTTGACTGGATCTCTTTTACCATGAATTACAATTTCCAGTCAGCCCTTGATCTTCAGGGGTGCTCTGCATTTATGTTTTGCGGTCTCGGAAAGGGCTAGCGAGATACCATCTTGTTATATCATATTATGATTGTTTTGAGGAAGTGTTGTCATACGAGATTTATATTATTGCTCGCTAGTTGATTATGCCATTGATATGAGTAAAAATGAGACCTAAATGTTATTGTGAATATGGTTAGTTCATAATCTTTGCTGAAAACTTGAATGCTGGCATTACATATTTACAACAACAAGAGCAAACATAGTTTGTAAAAGTTTTTCTTTATAACTTTCAGTTTATCAACTGAATTGCTTGAGGACAAGCAAAGGTTTATGCTTGGGGGAGTTGATACGTCTCCATCGTATCTACTTTTCCAAACACTTTTGCCCTTGTTTTGGAATCTAACTTGCATGGTTTGAATGGAACTAACCCGGACTGACGCTGTTTTCAGCAGAATTGCCATGGTGTTATTTTTGTGCAGAAATAAAAGTTCTTGGAATGACCTGAAAATCAACGGAGATTATTTTTGGAATATATAAAAAATACTGGCAAAAGAATCAAGGCCAGGGAGCCCACACCCTGTCCACGAGGGTGGGGGGCGCGCCTACCCCCCTAGGCGCGCCCCCTGCCTCGTGGGCCCCCTAGTGCTCCTCCGACCTCAACTCCAACTCTATATATTCGTGTTCGGGGAGAAAAAAATAGGAGAGAAGGATTCATCATGTTTTATGATACGGAGCCGCCGCCAAGCCCTAATCTCTCTCGGGAGGACTGATTTGGAGTCCGTTCGAAGCTCTGGAGAGGGGAATCCGTCGCCATCATCATCACCAACCTTCCTCCATCACCAATTTCATGATGCTCACCGCCATGCGTGAGTAATTCCATCGTAGGCTTGCTGGACGGTGATGGGCTGAGTGGTAGTACCACAATGTCAAGCGATAGTACCGCAACCCCTTGCGGTAGTAACGCGAGCGTGTGCGGTAGTACCGTGTGTCGCGGGCTGAGTGAGTGGGTAACGGTTGGATCTTTCCCCCCACTATATAAAGGGGGTCTTCTTCCCCAAGAAGATCACCTCTTCCCTCCCTAAGCTCCATTGTTGCTCAAAGCTCCATTTCTGCCCGATCTCTCTCCCTAGCCAATCAAACTTGTTGATTTTCTAGGGATTGGTTGAGAAGGCCCCGATCTACACTTCCACCAAGAGAAATTTGATTCCCCCCTCCCCACTAATCCCTTGCGGATCTTGTTACTCTTGGGTGTTTGAGCACCCTGACAGTTGAGGTCACCGCGGAGCCATATTCCATTATGGTGAACCTTCGTGGTGTCGTTGAGAGCCTCCGATTAAGTTGTGGAGATTGCCCCAACCTTGTTTGTAAAGGTTCGGTCGTCGCCTCCAAGGGCACCAATTGTGGAATCACGGCATCTCGCATTGTGTGAGGGTGTGAGGAGAATACGGTGGCCCTAGTGGCTTCTTGGGGAGCATTGTGCCTCCACACCGCTCCAACGGAGACGTACTTCCTCTCAAAGGGAAGGAACTTCGGTAACATATTCTCGTCTCCACCGGCTCCACTCTTGGTTATCTCTTACCTTTACTTGCGCAAGCTTATGTTGTGTTGTATCCCTTGCTTGCTTGTGTGCTAGTTGTTGTTGCATCATATAGGTTGCTCACCTAGTTGCATATCTAGACAACCAATTTTGATGCTAAGTTTAATTTGGTAAAGAAAAGCTAAAAATTGTTAGTTGCCTATTCACCCCCCTCTAGTCAACCATTTCGATCCGTTCAGTGGCATGCAACAGATGCAGGGAATTCCATTCCAGTCTCAGGTTATCTAGATTCTTCTTTCCAATCAAAGAGGTGAAGTGATCAAGCAATATTTGCTCCTTTTCACTATGTTCTATAGGACCTCTCCCAATTGACCTTTCAACATTGGGATGTGGTTCTTTCTCCCGCAACCATTTACTTGGAGATGGAATAACTTAGTGTTGGCATCCCCCTCATGAATCCAAATCATCCTCGATCTCTGTCGCCATCTTATTCGTTCAACAACAGTGATACCCAAGAGTCTAGGCTTGAGAACTATCCAAGTTTAAACTCATTTTCTAAGAGGGTTCTCTCCTCCATCACGAGTTTTAGATTAAAGATCACCTCATTGCGAATGTTGAAAGCTAGGTTTTGCTTAGCTCGGATATGCTTATCGCTTTTCTTGGGCGTCATGGCCATTCTGGAGATCTTGATGCGTAAGGTTCTAATCGCGTCATTACAGAACATGCTTAGTCCAGGCCGTCTCAATCACATTCTGAATCCCCTCCATCTTAAGCCAATATGCCTCGAACCTGAACCCCTTTGAACATGTGCAACTGTATCTTCTTTAAAATTAGGGGATTGTGGTTGGATATAGTTGTTGATGCCATAGAGAGATGAAACTGTGACCGTCATCGAGGCCACGAGCAATGTGACCACCACGATAAAATTGTCACGTAGCTTAGATTTGTACAAATCCTTATACCTCTTGATCTCATCTAGAGTGGGCCAGCCGTTCCTAGAGCAGAACCTCTGATTCCGCAGCACGACCAGACACACTTTGTCCATGCAGAGGAGGTTGTTGCCTGCTGGTTTGGGCGCAAGTCGGCCGCTAAATCTGGCAGGGCCGTCCGTCGTGGCCTTTTTCTTCCCTCGCAATGACCTCATTAGGCCAGGAGCGGGAGGTGGCTCTTGTGGTTAGAGCAGAGGAACATGGGCAAATCGTCAGCTCGGAGAGGAAATCCTTGAGAGGATTCAAGTCTTCACCATCGTCTCGGTGGTGGGCAATTCCTATTTGATGCATATAGCGTTAAGTAGTCGCCTATTCGCACAGGGTGTGAACGAGCAGACCAAACTGGGCCAGCCCATTTAACACTAGGAAGGCTCTAGTATGGGTTTTTGATGGTTTTGGGAACCTTCTAGAAAGTTCGTCGCCATTTTATATTCATTTTTTGTTTTTTCTATTTTTACTCAGAATTCTCAAAAAATATTTGTCTTTTCAAAAAATGCTCACTATTTAAAATGTTCATGTTTTTTGAAAAATGTTCAGAAAATTTAAAACTTGTATGCAGTTTCCAAAAATGCTCGTGTTTTGTTTAAAAGTTCAGAAATATAATTTTTTGTCCGCATTTTCAAAAAATGCTTTCATAAAAAATGAGTAATTTTTTTTAAAAAAAATTGGGTACTACAGTAACCAGGTCGCTAGGTTGGGCCGCTGCAGTAGCTCGTTGCAGGAAAGTACCATCTCTACACACAACTGTTATTGCGCCGGGCCAGGTAGCGGCGCTCTGTGCTTCAAAACCATTACAGCCCTGATAGGAGCTCCCTCGGCAGTGTGTTCATGGCACTGTATGGTTGTTTAAGAGTTTGGAATTCATGGCACATGCGTGACAGTGACTATGATGACTATCAAGAGCTGATCTTGATCTATCAGCATCAATGTGCAGTGGGCGGCGGCGCCAGTGGTTCATTCAAACCTGCACAGTTTGGGCGATGGAATCCACCGAGAGAGAGAAAGAGAGAGAGA